ACACACACACACACACACACACACACACACACACACACACACACACACACACACACACACACACACACACACACACACGCACACACGCACACACACACCGTCGAGCAAGGAGAGCGGGTTGCTGTTGAGCCTGAGGTCCTGCATGCGCGGTGCTGGGGTGATGGCGCCGCTGCGAAGAGCGGTGATGATGTTGTTCGACACATCCAGCATCTGCAGCTCCTGTACAAAGACAAGCGCCTTGGCGGCGATGGCGGTGATGAGGTTGCGGCCCAGGTCGAGGGAGACCAGGTGCGGCAAGCGGCGCATCCATGATGCGCTCAGAACAGGCAAGCGGTTGCTGGCGAGGTTGAGCACGCGGAGGGAGGGCAGGTTGAGGGTGTCTGGCCGGATGTAGGCGATGAGGTTGAAGCTGAGGTCGAGCGTGTGCAGCTTCGGCAGGTAGAGCGGCAGGTCCTGGTTGAGGGCCGGGATGAGGTTGAAGCTGAGATCCAGCACCTCCAGCGACGTGAACCGAGCAAGGTGCTCTACGGGGATGAAGGACAGCCCCGTTCGCCACAGGTCGAGGTGGCGCGTGGTGACCGGCAGCACCTCCAGGTGCGCCAGCAGGACCTCGATGGATGGGATGTTTCTGCAGCTCACGTACCCGTTCTCCAGGCACGAGCACAGGCCGCAGTCGTCCATGAGCTCGGGAGCAAACGGCCTGCAGCGCTGTGGACACTCTGTCAACGCCGTCCGCGTTGTCAGCGGCGTCACGGTACTGCCGATGTTGCTGTCTGTGTTTGTGCTTGTGGATGTCGTGGCGGTGGTTGTCGTCGTTGTTGCTGTTGTTGTCGTGCTGGTGGTGGAGGTTGTGGCGTTCACGCTGCCATCGCCTGTGGTGGAGGTGGCGTTACCGCCGGCGCCGGCGAGCGTCTCGTAGCAGTGGGTGCAGTGCCTGCACCGCGCATCTTCGGCACAGTAGAGGTGGTCCGGGCAGTCCTGGTGGCCCGCGCACGGCAGGAGCGTGTAGCACGCCTCGCCGCACTGCAGGGCAAGGTCGAACGCCGCCACCTCTGGCAGGCTGGTGAGGTGCTCGTTGGCGCAGTCTGTGATGCACGGTTGGTGGCACACGACGCTCTCGTCGGCCTGGAGCGCCAGCACGCATTCCACAGCGCGCAGGCAGTCGCCGCCGCTCGAGCCTGTGGATGAGCAGATGCTGGTGAAGTTGCACTGGGCGCGGCACGGGTCGTCGGGGTCGCCCACACGCGCATGCACGCCACCGCCGCCGCCACTCAGCAGCAGCACCGCTACCATGGCCACTAAGGACAGGGACACGGCAACGAGTGGCGCGCGTCTGTGCACGGTGCTTCTCGACACGGCAGTGGCTGTCGCAGCAGCCACGCCATGCACACTCCACCTCCTCAGCATCTTCATCATCGTGTGTTTGTGTTTCGTTTCGTGGAGAGAGTGCACACACAACAGAACAACCTGGACAGACAGGCCGAATAAGGAAGGAATTCTGCTCGTCCACTCTTCTTGTGGTGATGGGTGATGTGACATGCCACGTGACGTGGTGCTTCTCTTCATCTCACGCTTTGTTCAGTGAGTGGTTGGTGACTTGCTGCTGCTGTGTGGGCAGTGAGTGAACGGTTTACTTGTTCCGCCTGAGTGCAGCCTCCACCTCTTGCAAGCGCCGGCTGCACAGCTCCTTGTTCGCGTC